CCAGGGCAGCATAGCAAGACCCCATCTCACACACACACACACACACACACACACACACACACAGATATACACACACACACAGATGTGTCTCACCCTCAGCTAAATCCAAATACTCATGGTGATGTTAGTATCACTCAAAGCAGCCCAGAAGAGGGGAAACAGCAGCTCCCTGGAAGGTTAGGTGTTCTACTAAGAAGCCGCCAACTTTCCTCATATCCATCTTAACCTTTCACTTTGCTTTTCTAAATGAGAACGGGCCTTGTGGCCACTGGGAAAAGCAGAAAAGCCCAGGAAATTAATATCACCATGAATATCTGGATTTCGCTGAAGGTCAGAAGAAATGGGTGGCAGAAGAAAGAGAAAAAGAAACATTGACAGATGGAATCCCTTCACAGGTGGAATCCCTGCCAGGCCACTTTAAGTATTAAGAAAAGTGATCAGGTGGCAGAGAATTCCATGGAGGCTTCAGACTGATGCCCAGTGACAGCTGACTGCAAGCAAAGTCAAAGTGGTTGAGGCCGCTTTAATATACTCCGGATTCACGAGTCCAGTTTAAATACTCCCTATTCACATCCAATTTAAACCTGCATCCCCTGCGTGGGCAATGGATGTAAACGCTGAGAGAGCCAAAGTTAAGTGTGGCCCCCTGCCAGGCCAGCTGCTCCCTCTGTTCTCAGCAGCTGCCACTGGACCTGGGAAGGTTCCAATCTCGGCTCCCACTGGCGGGGAAAGACCGCCCCACTCCTGGCATGGGGGAGGCCCTGGAGCTCTCCTTTCCTCCTGAAGGCCCACGCAGCGCGGCCGCTGGGGAAGGCAGGGAAGCCCAAGAAAAGCCCATTCTGATCGAGAAAAGCAAAGTGAAAGGTTAAGGTGGATATGAGGCAAGCTGGCGGCTTCTTGGTAGAACCTAATCTCCGGGGAGGTGCTGTTTCCCCTTTCTGGGCTGCCTTGAGTGCGATTGACAAGTCAAATTGGCCCCATCCGCTCCCTGACTGAATTTACCCTGATTCTCTCCGGAACACAGGACCCAGCACCTCTACAGATGCATCTCCCCTGACAGCTCCATCTGCACCCGAGCCCTTTGACTGTCAGTTTAGTGGGTCCCAGGAGCTCTAACTGGACGCACGCTGCTGTGAAGCACTGCGCATGTCTGCCGCGGGATACTGACCACCCTCATAAACATCCGAGGCAGGGCTGAGGTACTAATGAGCCTGCACTTGCGCCCTACACCTCTTTAGGGAGAAAAAAGACATCTAACTCATCCAAGTGGGCCTCCCAGCTATAGCTCGCCCAGTTATTTTTTTTATGAGACTGTTATCACCGGCAGCCCCAAGATTAATAAAAATGGAGAGTAATAAAAGAAATCACAGAGGAAACTGATGCTATCAGCTATGTAATAAAAGAGAGAAAGCAGGCTTCGTTTGTAATGACAAATTCTCCCTGTCTCGCCAAGCTCAGAAATGAAGCCCCGAAGGAAGGGTGTAGTAGGGTGTAGTACATGGTTTCGGATGTGTAGACCACACTAGCGCCAGGTAAGTATCTCTCAGTGGCATTCTCTGCTCTATGCAAACCAGAGAGCTCCCTTCCACGTGAATTCGAGGGTAGTAGAAGGAAGAGGTCTTCTGTCTCGTCTATGTCTAAACTTCCCACCCACCCCTAGACGAGGGTGCTACCCTCCTCATCACCACCCTCTCCTTAGCTTAGGGCAGCCGCAGCCAAGGCCCCGTAAGTGCCTGTCTAACGCCAGCTCCATGACCTTGGTGCTACTGGGGACTAATGCCTGGGGTCCTGCAGCTGGCCTTTGCTGCGCTTGACCCCAGCCACTCCTTCTCCTATCTCCCTAAGGAAGCCAGCAGAGCCTCAGCCAAATCCAAGTCCACAAAGCCACCTCGGAAGCAACGCACCCGCATCCTGTGCTGCCTCCAGGCTCTCTGGGCGGGTTCTCCCTGAGCCCTTCCAGATGGCTTCTGTTTGCTCCTCTCTTCACCAGATCTGCACATGTGGCCATCAGAAGGCAGCCGGGCTGGCGCTGGGTGAGGCCGAAGGGCAGTGGGATAGGGGGAAGAGGGAGGGGAGGATGTGTGCAGGAGACTCCCGGGACCCAGCCCTGTTCCCATCTCCTGCCTGGGACCCCGCGCTCCGCAGCTGGGGTTTGTATCCGAGAGCTTGCTCTCCACTGCAGAGCGAGAGGCTCACAGACGAGCCACGACGTGGACTCCAGTGCATGGTGCAGTCTCTGTGTCTCCCTCACTGAGCACAGGAAGGGAAGGAAACAGGGGAGAATCACCTTTCTCCTTTTCTACTCCACAAATGCTGACCCCAATCCTGACCTGGTTTTCCCAGCAACACAGATGTGATGAGGGATTGCTTTGAGCTTGGGGTCATCCCTGCATTTTGGAAAGAGCCCTGTGCCACCTGCAGTGATAAAAAGGACCAGGGAGATGTAGCCCCAGTCAAGGGGGCCAAACTTCAAAGAGAATATGGAAACAACTCAGATCCAAATAAATGTAGCCACCGCAGGGCTGCCTCCAGCTCTGAGCCCGTGGGCATGTGTGCTGAGGGTGCAGGAGAGAGCAGAGGGGGGACCCATGTAGCGGGGCCCGAAGCACACGACACTCCTTTGTCACCCAGCTTTGAGGAAAGAAAGGCCAGTCTAGATCAGGAGAACGGTCACAAGGGCAGGGTCTAGGAGGTGGTCGATTAGTGAGGAGGAGGGAAAGCAACAGTGGTGTGGGACAGGCAGGGTGCCTGTGGGAACGGGCGTGATGTGAGATGCAGCTCAGAGCGCTGGAAAAGCAAGGGGGACAAAGCACATTCGGGATGCAGGGACTTGGTGGGGGCCAGGGCTTTCCCGTGAAACCTGGGAAGTTGAGAGGGCATCATCCAGGATCACCAAGACCCTTCCCCAACTTTAATCACGGAGGACTTTCCCATGGTTAGCAAGCAAGCTAGGTGAGGCTGCTGGGGGCAGCCATTTTGCTTCCTCTACAGATGCAGCAAACAGCTCTGGCTCATCTCTGCTCCTGTGCAGACACATAGTGGGAGAAAGAGCGAGAACACATGGCAAAGGGAGAATTTCAGAGCAGGATGCATCCCTAAGCCCCAGCTGCCAGGACTGAGACCAGGAGTCCCCAAGGACTGCAGCCGTGACTGATCCAGGCCTTGGTACCCTCCCATCTCTGAGGTTTTCTGCTGTGCCCAGTGTCGCTTCAGGGCATTCTCCTGGTGGAGACTTGGGACGCTCAGTGTCAGAGCCTCCCAGCAGCATGAGGAAGGGGGTGCAAACAAGGCAGAAGACCCAGCTCCCCGAGAGGGGCCTGACGCCTGCATCCAGTGAGGGCTGAGCCAGAGCCAAGCAGAGCCTATCAGTGCACAATCCAAACACCAGCCAAGGCCCCGTGGCCAGGCCAGTCATAAACCCATGGCCGCAAAAACAGGCCAGAGCGCCCAGGAATACAGCCCGGCCTGGGTAATGATTAACAGGCAGCCAGGGGTCCTGGAGGTCAGAGCGATAATGAGAAAGTTTCCCTGAACTCTCTCAAGTGCAGAGGGCCTGGGGAGGGGCCCTGCTGGCGCCGACTCCTGGGCAAACACTTCCTGCCCCTCTCTTTTCAACGACCAAACAGCCTCAGCCCCTCTCACCTCCTTCCTGAGGGCTGGGGAACTACATCACAACTGCGGGGCCTCAGGGCCCTGGTAAAATCCACTGGGAAGAGCCAATGAGGGCATCTTCCCAGGAGGCTGAATTTCCTGATAAGTCCTTCCAAGAAGACAGGGCTTCGTGCTTATCTTTATGGCCTGACATGTCCTAAGACAGTGGGAGCCACTCTGCTTGAGTGAAACTAGCATATTATGTTCAGCGAGACTTTCTGCTTTCTGATTTTTCTGGTGCTTTTGTATCTTGCAGTGGAATTCTCCAGCAACTTTCTTCTGAAATTCCCAAACAACTTCCAGGGCACAACTCCTGCCTCGGTTTAAGTTAAGGAAGGTTGCTAAGGCCCCACCGTGTGTCCAGTTGGGGCGCTTTGCACACGGTGAAAAATCATTCCCTCACTGGGAAGGCAAAACTAACCTAGAGGAAAACATAACAATGGAAAAAACTTTAAGGTGAAGCGCCTCTAAAGTCTCCCTGTGTTCTAGGAAATCATCATGTCAGCTGAGGATTAAAGAGGTCTGTCCTCTCAACTCACAGAGATCATCAAAATGACCTGACCAGGCACGGCGGCTCATGCTTGCAATCCCAGCACTTTGGGAGGCCAAGGCAGGAAGATCACTCAGACTAGCCTGAGCGACATAGGTAGACCTCATCTCCACAAAAGAAACAAATGAGCAAAACATTAGCCAGGTGCGGTGGCACATGCCTGTGGTCCCAGCTACTCAGGAGGCTGAGGTGGGAAGACCACTTGAGCCCAAACAGTCGAGGCTGCAGTGAGCCACGATCGCACCCCTGTACTCCAGCCTGAGTGACAGAACAAAAACACCGCCTCAAAAAATAAAATAAAATAAGCGTCAAAAAATTAAAAAGAAATGATTCACTTGAGCACATATGGTTGTCAATGATCAGGATGGCGCCATGTTAAGGCTGGGCACAGTGGCTCACACCTGTGATCCTAGCACTTTGGGAGGCCAAGGAGGGTAAATCACTTGAGTCCAGGAGTTCAAGACCAGCCTTGGCAGTATGGCTAAACCCGATTGCTACAAAAAAAAAAAAAAATAGCTGGGAGTGGTTGTTGTGTGCCTGTAGTCCCAACTACTCAGGAAGCTGAAGTGAGAGAATTGCTTGAGTCTGGGGAGCAGAGGTTGCAGTGAGCTGAGGTCATGCCACTGCACTCCAGCCTGACACAGCAAGACCCTGTCTCCAAAAAAAAAAAAAAAAAAGCAAGCACCATGAGCAACTCTCCCGAGGCTGGCTCCTGCACATGTCTTCCCATCCACCAACAGAGTCTCAGTTCATAGCCGTTGTCACACCATCTGTCACTCCACTGTCCTGTCTACCTCTCAACGGAAGGTGATGTTTAGAAGCGTGATTCCTATCTAATACTGAAGCCAGAGGCTCTTCCCACACTTTCCCGAGTTTTCTTGTAGAAAAGGAGCTATGGATGTTTCCTTGAAAATCAGCCTCGATTCCTGTGACACACCCATCACATGCTGCTCAAAGCTATTCCAGGATATTACCAAATATTGACACCCTGTCCTGAGTGAGCAGGTAGCAGTGCCGAGGTAAGACGAGTTCCCAGCTCTGGAGTCTTCCTACTCCAGGAGGCCAGTCCTGAGCAGTGTGATTCCTGTGTTATCTAATTCATCAACTAACTTCCATGAAGACACCACCCCGGGGTAAGCCATTTTCATTTCCAGTGTCTGTTGGGCGAGTCGGTTTTCACATTGTTCAGATGTGTGTGACAACACTGGTCTACTTTTAAATATGTTAAATATTAAAGTGTCCACAACATTGTGTGCTCCTGATGGAAATAACACCACCATCTGTAAAGTAAGTATTCTTGACAAGAAAAAAAAAATCAAACCCAATCCAGCTACTAGATCTAACTACTAGTTGACAGGAAATAGAAGACTAGGGACAAAATGTTAAAGGACACCCAGGGCTACAATCGGCAGAATCCAGAACGTGGAAACTCCCCATCAGCTGACACCTGTCATGGCTGGATGATAGAACATGGGGGGTTGTTGCATCATTTGCTCTACTTTTGTGAAATGTTTTATAATAACGGGTTAAAAATACTTACAAGTGTTTATATATACTCGGCCACAAATCCAAAATAACATCCAATCAGACGCCTCTCCATAACCCACTATGATGGGAGACAGTGACAACAGATATCTGAAAAAGGATCAAAATCTCTACCCAGCTCTTTATCCTGCCTCACCTCCCTGCTGACCTGAAGCTGATGCAGACCCAGGTGAACTGGTCAGGGGCCATCGCAAGCCCTTCTTTCCCCGAGGGTCATGAACTAGCACAGTCCCTGGGGCTGGGGATGAGAAACCTGCAGAGGCTCTGCCATCCTCGTACAGGCCCATCGGACTCTGAATCAGAGTCAGTACCACGGCTCCAAGGACACCAAATGTGGGGTTGGGAGGGTGATGCTGGCCTGAGTTCTCAGGCCTGGGCTCCAGATCTGACTCTGCCGCTTACTACCTGAATGACTTCAGGTAAATCACTTAACTTCTCTGAGGGTCCATGTTTTTCTCTACCAAAAAAGGAGAATCAGGCCAGGCGCGGTGGTTCATGCCTGTAATCCTAGCACTTTGGGAGGCCAAGGCAGGCAGATCACTTGAGCTCACGAGCTCAAGTCCAGCCTGGCCCAGGTGGCAAAACCCCATCTCTACAAAAATACAAAAATTTGCCAAGTATGGTGGTGCGTACCTATACTCTGGAGGCTGAGGGGAGAGGATGGCTTGAGCCCAGGAGGCAGAGGTTGCAGTGAGCCGAGATCGCACCACTACACTCCAGCTTGCGTAATAGAGCCAGACTTTGTCTCCAAGAAAAAAAATAAGAGACTCATTCACTCAATAAACACTTGTGAAGGATGTGAAAATGAGGTAGACAACAATCCCTGCAGTCAGGGAGCAAGGACTGTGCACACAGAATACTGTTACACAGGGCAGGGCTGGATGGGAGACGGGCCACTGGGGAGGTGAACACCACTGAGGGGTCCGAGCGGAAGAGGTTCACTTCTCTCTGCATATCAGGGAAGGCTCCCTGGAGCAGGTGGCATTTCAGCTGGACCCTGACAGATGGCTCTCAGCAGGTGGATGTGGAAGAGGAGGGCATGCCGGTAGAGGGAGTGCTGAGCCTACAGCAGGTTCCGGGTTTTGCTGGAGCCCAGAGCCTAAGAAGGAAGCCGTGAATGATCAGGCAGGTGAGGCCAGCAGCGGAGGCCCTGAATGCTGCCCAGGGTCCAGGGATTTGGAAGGCCATGGGAGGCCATTTGGAAACTTTTGAGAAGGGTCCTTTAACCAGGACTGTTATTTAAGAGTATTATAAAGAGGATGGACTGGAGAGAAAGGCTTCATCCTAGTTACCCTCTAGGAAGAGAAGAGCCCATTTCACTTCTCCATAAACTGTTTCTGATAGAAATGACGCAGACACGTAGCCTGTGCAGCAGGGCTTCCTTCTCCGGGAGAAAACTGCACACACACATACACACACGACACACACCACACACAACACACACCTCACAAACACAACACACATACACCACACACCACACACACACAACACAAACACCACACACACCTCACAAACACAACACACACACCTCACAACACACACACGACACATACACACACACCACACACACCACACACACCACACATACACAACACACAACACACACAACACACACAACAGAAACATACACCACACACACAACACAAACACACCACACACACTTCACACCACACACACACACACCACACACACGACACATACACAACATACACACCACACATACACACACCTACCACACATGACACACACAACAGAAACACACCACACACACAACACAAACACACCACACACACTTCACTTCTCACCACACACACACCACACACGCAACACATACACAACATACACACCACACATACACAACACACATACCACACATGACACACACAACAGAAACACACCACACACACAACACACAACATACACACCACACATACACAACACACACACCACACATGACACACACATACCACACATGACACACACAACAGAAACACACCACACACACAACACACAACATACACACCACACATACACAACACACACACCACACATGACACACACAACACAGACATGCCACACACAACACAAACATCACACATAACACGCACAACACACCACACACATACCCCACACACACCACACACCACACACACAACATATACATAACACACATGACACACATACAACACAAACATACCACACACACCACACACCACACACACAACACGAACACACCACACACAGCACACAACACACAACACACATATACAACACACTCCCCACACCCACACTACACATGACACACATACAAAGCAAACACACCACACACACCACACACACCACACACCACACACACAACACGAACACACCACACACAGCACACAACGCACAACACACATACACAACACACTCCCCACACCCACACTACACATGACACACATACAAAACAAACACACCACACACACCACACACCACATACATTACACACACACATGATACATACACAACACACACACTACACACACACCACACATGACACATACACAACACGTACCACACACACCACACACACAACACACACAACACACACAACACACACAACACACATAGCACACACAACAAAAACACACCACACACACCACACACATCCCCCACACACCACATGCACATCATACACTATACACACCACACACACACCACCCACACACCACACATGACACACACAACACAAACATACCACACACACCACACACCACATGCACATCATACACCACACACACCACACACAACACACATGCACACCACACACAAAACACACATGCACACCACACACACAACACACATGCATGCCACACACACCACACACCACATACCACACACCACACGCACATCACATACCACATACACAACACACACACAGCACACTCACACCACACACAACATACACACCACACACAATGCACAACACACACAACACACACCACACACAACACACAATACACGCACACCACACATACACCACACACATCACACACAACACACAACACACAACACACAACACACGACACACGCACACCACACACACACCACTCCACAACCACACAACACACACAAACACAGTTTTGTGAATCAGGAGGTACTGGGCAGGAGTCTATGAACCATATAGGAGAGAAAGCACAGCTGGAAATATGTCAACCTCTAAAATACAGACACGGTTAAGGGCGAAACCCTGAGACACGGGGAAAGTGATGTCTCCTCTTTTCTCCCATTTCAGAGAGGAGGCTCCTCTTTGCACCTTGCCTTGGTTCATTCTGGAGCCAAATTCTCCAGGACTCAGAGGATGGGAGTGTACAGAGGATGGGAGCGTACAGCGGATAGGGGGCTGGCCCTTTCTGTCCTCTCTACAGAAGAAAACAACATTACAAAGGCAAAATGCATGCAAGTAAAAAAAAAAAAGTTTCATAGAGTTGTGCTGGGGTGTTGATTCATAACCACATTCATTTTCTATTTGTGGTATTTGTCAGCTTTTTAAAATTTGTAATTTACAATTGTACAGGAGGTTCGCTTGGGACCACAAGTTCAAGACCAGCCTGGGCAACATAATAAGACCCCGTCTCTGCAAAAGAAACCATCAATCAAAATATTGTCTGGGCGTGGTGGTGCCCGCCTGCGGTCCTGCTACTCGGGAGTCTGAGGTGGGAGGATCGCTTGAGCCCAAAAGTTCGAGGTGCAGTGAGCTGTGATGGTGCCGCTGCACTCCAGCCTCAGTAACAGAGCAAGACCCTGTCTCAAAAGAGAATAATAATAAAATTAAATTTAACACAATAAAAAAGAAATGACTCACTGCAGGACATGTGGTTGTCAACTATCAAATCCTATGACCCCCATTGTGAGAGACATTGTGATGATATTTTCCTCTTCTCATTTTTTGCAACAATTCACTGTAGTAACCTTTGCATTCTTTCTCTTAAAGAGACCCCACAAATCGTATAAACTTTGGACCTCCCAAACTGTCATTTCAAGACCTCCGAATAGAGAGCACCCCTGCATTCACACTTCCCTTTTGCTGGTAGGGAAGGGCTGAGTGGGGGATATAGCCCCTTAAATGGGTAGGAGTCTGCTTCTCAGTCCTTTTGATAAAAGTGTGGATTCAGCTTATCTGACCAGCTAGGCAGGATTAGTATGTCCTTCTCATAGATGGAGAGTTAAGTGATTTGTCCACAGTCACACCCTGACAACCTAGCAGAGACCCCAGGCCCCAGGCTCCAGGCCACCTCACTTTCCCAGGACACAGAGAAACCGGGAATGCACCTGCCATCCATACCATCCTCCCTTCCTGGTTTTGATGAATCAGACTAATCCCTCTCCGCTTCTCCACTTCTCACTTCACCCCCTTCGTGGTCCCAATGAGAGATCACACAGCATATTTCATTAGTTGCAAAACCTTGCAATCACTTGGGCCGGGAACTGGCAAAAATCAGGTCACGATGGCAATCCTTGCTGGGGATCCCGAGGCCAAGGAAGCAGGAAAGACCCAGGAGCGCAGGGACTCGACCTGCGGGGATCCTGTGCCTGGAGATGCCAAATCACCACGTTCTGCCTGAGCCCAGAGGCCACCTGCTGAGCCCCGAGGGAGGCAGCAGGACTGAGGATCACGGAGAGCTTTTTTCACTTTGTTGAGAGCTGGACTTGGTATTGATGGGGAGGATTTAGAAATAGCAGCATAAAGAAGTGTGGGATTATGGCTGAATCTAATGTTGAGAAGCATTTCTTTATTTTTAATGTTTTAATTTTTTTTATTCTCATACGTTATTGGGGAACAGGTGGTGTTTGGTTACATGTGTAAGTTTTTTGGTGGTGATTTGTGAGACGTTGGTGCACCTATCACCCGAGAAGTACACCCTGTACCCAATTTGTGGTCTTTTGACCCTTATCCCCTTCCCTCCTTTTCCCTCTGAGTCCCCAGAGTCCACTGTGTCATTCTGTTTGTTTGTTTGTTTGTTTTTGAGACAAAGTCTCACTCTGTTGCCCAGGCTGGAGTGCAGTGGTGCGATCTCAGCTCACAGCAACCCCCGCCTTCCAGGTTCAAGCGATTCTCGTGCCTCAGTCTCCCGAGAAGCTAGGATTACAGGCGCCGGCTACTACACCCAGATAATTTTTGTATTTTAGTAGAGATGGGTTTTCACCATGTTGGCCAGGCTAGTCTCAAACTTCTGACCTCAGGTGATCCACCCACCTCGGCCTCCCAAAATGCTGGGATTACAGGCATGCCCGGCCCACTGTGTCATTCTTATGCTTTTGCATCCTCATAGCTTAGCTTCCACATATGAATGAGAACACACAATGTTTGGTTTTCCATTCCTGAGTTATTTCACTTGGAATAATAGTCTCCACACCCAGTTAATTTTTGTACTTTTTGTAGAGATGGGGTTTCACCATGTTGCCCAATCTGGTCTCGAACTCCTGCGCTCAAGCGATCCCCCCACCCTCGGCCTCCCAAAGTGCTAGGGTTACAGGTTCATGCCACCGCGCCTGGCTTCACTATTTATTTAGACAAATATTTCACATCCATGATTCTCTCCAGTCAAAAGTTCTTTTTGGGGTGATGCTGTTGGCTTTGGCCAATCAGAGAATGAAATACCCTGCCCGACACCCACCCCCACACACACCTACACACACTTGCTGGCTGATAACTGAAATCCCTGCGGCAGGGACAGAGATTTGGTCCCCACCCTTAAATGGAGGCTTGAGACCAAGACTCCTCACCCTACCTACCAATAGAAGGGGCCAGCGAATCCCTACTTGGTTACGGTTGAGTCCTATCCCTCATCCTTCAAATTCATTCATCCTCAAGTTAAAGAAACCAGGTGGGATACCAAAATGCAGGGAGTTTTGAGCCACTGAAGCGAGCCTGCTTCTTCCACTGTAGGGGGTGGACAATGGGGGGCAGGGGCTGCAGGGTCACCCCAGGTCGGCCTTCCCCCATCCCTGGTCATTTGCTGGGGTCTGTACCTGGTGGTGGACTGCCGCTCTGCACTGCTGCATCATCAGTGACATTAAAGAACCCCATCCAATTGGTCAGCTGGTCACCACTCTGCCAACCAAACTGGAGGCCTCTGGCAAGAAAATGAGGCCGTTGGTACTCATGCCCATTTGCTGGGTCAAGCCTGTCTACCAGAGAGTTACATTCTGTCACAGTGCCCAAATGACACGTTGCCTTGGTCATACAGTTAAAGGAAATCATGGTCATGACTCCCACCAGGAGAATGGCAATCATAAACCACAGCCCTCGGCAGTGCTCGCTGCTCTTCTACACCCATCCCCTCATTCCATCTGTACCAGCAGGACTGAGAGCACACATTTCACACACAAGGACATTGAGGCTCCACAAGATGAAGGTCCCAGAGCTCTTCTTCCTCCTATATGATGCCATCCCCCAGTTCCTGCCTCCAGGTAAGCCAGAAGAGCTCCAGCACCAGCACTTTGTCCTCCTCAGAAGCCAGACACACTTCAGAGCTTTTAATGAAATCTACAGTTTTCCAGCACACAAGGATGCCACTTCTGGTTTGAGATGATAAACTCAACACGTGTTTATCTCCACGCCTTCCCCAACCCTCACTAAAATGACAGCAAAGGAATAAATCCAGACATGCACGTGCAGAGAAGGCCATGGAAGGGCCCAGCCACAACATGCTGGAAGACACAGAGCACAAGGTCACGGACGTCAGCCGGGCAGAGTGGACACCTGGCTGCCTGCAGGAAGCAGATCTACTCACAGTGAACAGCTCAGGAAGGCTCAGGAATGGAAGGCCCCCAGGGTCAGTGAAGGTGGGAGTACAAAACAGAGCTAAAAACAGGAGGATTGTTTGAATTCTGCATAAGGAGCAGCTAGATGACCCTTCTTCCAATGTCCCACACATTCCCACACCAGGTCCTCTTCCCAAGCCCAAGCAGCCTGGTCACTCCACCTGCCCACCTCACACATGTCAGGAGGTTGCTTTCAGGGCAAATGGACCCAGAGAAGCTCTGCACTGTTTTCCTGATATCAGAGACTGCACACTGAAAACAGTGGGTGTGCCTGAAAGTCTACTTACTGAGTGCCCCTGGCTTCCGAATGCCGGAACCACACACTCTGCCTTCCAAGTTTGGTGAGGGATGGGCTCCTCAGGATGGAAACCGACCCACTCAAAAGAAGCAGATATGAAGGACAGGGCTGGTGCTCCCCTGATCCCCCCAGGGCAGGCTTTCTCAGCCTGGCACTATGCATCTGGGGCTGGCGACTCCTTTGTTGTGGGACTGTCCTGTGCATTCTAGGATGCTGAGCAACATCCCTGGTCTCTACCACCGGATGCCAGCAGCACTTTGACTGTTGTGACAATCAAAAATGTCTCCAGACATTGCCAAATGCCTCCCAGGGGCAAAATCACTCCAGCTGAGCACAACTGTCTACAACAATGCCCAGAGCTTCCAGTAAACCTTCTAGTGACTGTCCGGCCATTACATATAAACAGGCTGTTAGAGACCGCCAACATGTGAAGCAAGCTTTCACAGTCAGAGAACAAAACAAAACAGCTTTCTCTGCTCGTGCCTAGTGTGGCCTCAATACACAGAACAATGCCAGTGAGTTTGTGGACCTGTACACCCCGTGGATACGCTCCACCAGCAATCACGTCATTGGTGCCAAGGACCATGCATCCATGCAGATGAACATGGCGAGGTTTACCAGGTTACCGGCAGGTTTAATGACCCGTTTAAAACCTATGTTATCCACAGGGCCATGGGCAGGATAGGTGAGTCAGAGAAGCATTTGAGTTTGCGTGTTTCAAAATCAGGTTCATGCATTAATCCCCAGGAAGCTTCACTGGCAGCTCACTTCCTGCTGTCCCACACTTTGGCTCCCCGGCTGCTGCTGTTGGGGACCACCCCTTTCTCCCCAGCATCTCCCTGGAGGTTCTCCTTCTACTCCCTGTTTCTGGGTCTCTGGACCAGACCTGAGCCAGTAAAAGGCGGTTGGGTGGCAGAGTCCTGCCAATTGTTGAATCTGGGTGATGGGTGTAAGGATATTCCTTGTACTCGTCTGGCTTGACTTTTTTTTTTTTTTTTGGTGATTATAGAAATGCTACTAATTTTTGCATATTGATATTGCTGGAGTGCATTGGTGTGATCCTAGCCCACTGCAGCCTCGAACTTCTGGGCTCAAGTGATCCTCCCACACCTCAGTCTCTGGAGTAGCTAAGGCCACAGGTGTACACCACCATACCTGGCTAATTAAAACATTTATTGTAGAGACAGGGGCTTGGTTGCTCTCCAACTCCTGACCTCAAGCAATCCTCTCACCTCGGCTTCTAAAAGTGTTGGGATTACAGGCATGAGCCACTGTGCCCAGCCTATGCTTGAATTTTCAACGATGAAAAAAATCCAAAAATCAAAAGGGGCGTTGGTGGATCCGGGAGCTGACAAGATTTGTTTGCTGGTCACATAATATGGGCGAAGCTTATATCTGGCATTTTACACACTTTATTTAATTACCACCATGGACCCAGTGACCACAACCTCAGAGGGCTCCTTGCCCTGCACAATTACCTGGAACATTCTTT